AAGACGGCTCACCAGGATTGTGGTTATTTGCCGGACTGCCAGTCAGACTGATCAAATTACGATGATCCACATCTGCGGCTTTCATCAAGCGATATGGTAGCTGATTTTCGCGGGCCATTGGCATTGGAATCACTCTATAAATGATATGAAAATATAAAGAGTATATCAATTTCAATGATTGGAAAAACATTAATCAACAATCTAAAAATAAAAACAGAACAATAATATATATAGTTACAGTTTCTGATCAGAAACTGTATTACCTATGATCTACATCTCCTGTAGTATTTAGAGATTCTTGTGGTTGTGGCTCGTTGTATTCCACCGGCTCTACAAAACCAGCTTTTTCATATATAGGCGGCGATTCCGGAGTCTCAGATAGCATGTCATTTTTTGTTCTGCCACTGACCGGCCATGTGGAATCATTATTGGAGTCCCACCTATCTCCATCACCATCCATCCAGGAATTTTTGTTTTTATCATCACAATCACCAGGCCACGCGGGATTCATGCTATTCTTACCTAAACATGTAGCAAAATTTGTAATGAACACTATGCATTATTGTAGAATAAGAAATTTATATTGAATCATTGAATTGAATTATAAACAATATTTATATCTACCTTTTTCATCCCATTTTGCCGAATCCTTAATACCCTCGTTCGTTGGCGTCCATGTGGGAAATTTTGGCGGTAACTTATTGTAACAATTCTCATCATCAAGGAAGATAGGCGGTAAGGGTGGAGGAGGTAAAGGATTAACTGTATTAGCGTTGGGTCCATCAAAGGAACCAGCTATGTTATTTTGACTGTTTTGACTGGAATACGGAGAAGGAGTGTGAGACTCGGGTAGATTGCGAACCGATATTGGGGTACTGTGACTCATCTGTAAACTGTTTAAACCGCTTCCACCGCTAACGACTGGTGTGCCCTGTTTACTTATCATTCTTGAGACAGGCGTTACGGACGCTAACGAGGGCGAATAATTGGGACGTTGTGGCGATTCCACCCGATTTTCAGAAACGTCCAGGCCTAGACCTGGAATTCCACCCGAATCTGACGTTCCATCAGATGATGGAAGAACCGTCTTTAGAAAACTAGATATATTAAAGTCCGCATTGTTCTGTTCATCTTTTGATGGTCTCATATTAATTACCTCTATTGGTTTTGCCTGAAAATCATAGAATTCATAAAGCGCATATTTTAATAGAATGTTGCGAATGTAAATAATATGAATAATTACCTCTAAAGATTCATTGTACTGTTGAGACATCCCAGGAGATGTCTCAGTGGTTTCGTTAAATATGTTTCTCTAAAAAAAAAAAAAAAACAACAAAAGAATAGAATACAATGTAGCAGATATTCAAAGCAGATATACAAAACTTTCTTCTATAAAGTAATACATATGTAACTATTGTTTTATCTTACCATATTACCAAAATCTACGTTTCCTCCTATAAAAGAAGGAAAATTATTGGTAAAGTCTGTCGATTCATTGCCTTGTACCATGTCAGGTGCAGGTACAGGAATAGGATCGTATTCGTGAGAATATGAACCGTACAGAGACGGTGGTGCCACGTCGATCATTCCTGATTGATTAATCACTGACTGAGTTTCATCTCCTGGTAGCTCTATATCACTATCGGGACTCGGCGAGGGTGCATTTATATCCGGCGATGGTATAGGCGAGACGAACGTAGGCAGCAATTCATCTAATTTTTTCTTTAGATTCTTAACACGACTGCCAAAATTTCGGTACGCCTATTTAGAAAAAATATAATATGAAAAATCAATGATATCGAATTATTTTACAAAATCTGACACTTACATTTGACACTATTTTAACCTCTCCACGTTGAGTCTCATAAAACTGATCTGCTTGATCCAACAATTCAACCACTTGTGTCCTTTCCCTAATCTCTGCTTCCAACGCACGAACATAATTCTCAACGTTTCTAGCGACCAAATCTATTTCTTTCTCTGCATCTTCCATGCGTCTTCTATCCTTTAATGATGCACGTAATTCCTCTGCAGATTCTATGTCTATGTTGCTCTCCCTTAGATCACGTAACCTAGCATCAGTCGCTTGTTCCAGAGTCGCACAAGATCTCATTGTGGAAATGAGCAAAGCTGCCTGAAACTCTTCAGGCTGTGCGATTGGTAGGGGCTCCAATTTCTTTTTTGGTGCTGCTGAGATTAAGCCAGATAGATCGGCAAGAAACTCCTCGTCATAGACTTGTCTTTGATCCCAGATTTTAAAAATCCTCAAAATACGGTGCTTCACTTTCTCGTCGCGAACCATTGGCGTTGCACGTTGCAGAGTAGTGCCCCATGACTCCACAAACTCAAAATTCTTTCTCTTTGAGTATTGAATAACATCGTTTGCCAAGTAGAATAATGTGAGTCGATGTTCTACTTTTACTGTTATAAAGAAATGAATTTTTTTATACAATAACACGGTGCTTCATCTAGTATGTTACCTAACTATATCTTATATTCTTTACCTATTGAATATTTAAGACGATGGAATTATATGATAGAATTATATGTGTTTCATAAAATCTAATACAAATTCAACAAGCTTATTGTAATAAAACATAATAATTTGTGTGTTTGAAAGGAAATCCATCATATTATAGAAAACACCTATAGTTGTGTTTAGCAGAAAAAGTAGTTTTGCAAGTATTGTAAAATTTTTTTAACATGGTTGGTGTGTACCATCACCATTTGGGGTGCCACCAAACCAATCATGTTAAACTGTTATGTTGAACACACAAAGTTGCTTTGCCTGTTGAATGATTTACCTTTCTTTAAAACCTGTAGCCACGTGGTGACAATCTTCTTGTGATGCTGTCTCCTGTCGAGGCACCATGCGGAGAGGCCCTGGATAGACTCCTGCGAGTCTTTCAGCGTGTGGAGCCTCCGCTCGAATTGCTCCGCGTCAAAATCGTTGTTTGCCATCGCGGATGTGTTATGTCCACCGATTATCAAATCGCAGATTCCAATTTCGCGTCACATTGTCAACATGGACCACCGCGAGGAACACGCGCGACGGCGTTCCGGTGTCATAAGATACGCGAACTCCGACTTGAGTAACCTAACCAAACAAATCGTGTCTCTTGCGGGGGAGCGGTAAACAGCGACAGGAGGGTTAGAAATAGTCGCAGTGATGCGTGATCATTTTATCGACTCCAATCGGCGGACACCCCGACGGCGTCCTCGCGCCTCTTTGCGTCGACTCTTGCAACGCGTTGGACGACAAATTGCCGGAATTGATTGTCAGGCTCCGTGAAAATTCCGTGTGATTTACATCGCTTCGCATCAAGTGCGAACGACGACGACACCACCACTATAACAACTACCACTACTATTACTACGACCGACCCGACGGCGCGGCGGCGACCAGCGGCGACAATGACGCCGAGACGATACGCGCAACTGTCACTGGCACAACGACGATCTGCTGCGACTGGGACTAGAGGACACGTGCGGCATGTCAACCTTCGCGCGGAATCGACCTCAGGGTTGCGTTGAAACGGCTCGACGTACCTCACCGACGTGTTGTGAGCGCGAGCGATATCGAAAACAACGATCCGCCATCTTTTCGCTCGGCCAAAACACGACCGCGCAATGGCCGGCGCGCCGTCCAGCAGCGTAGACATTCGCCAAATCTAGCCCCAAGTCTACGCCAATACCAGCCAATACGTGCCATGCGTAGCGCTTTAAACGAGTTTAGTTCGTTCGCGGCTTGCATCTGCTTGCTTGCATCTTCTTCGGGTGGTGTATTCGTTCGAATTTTCCAAGGAAGGGGACAGTTTTATCAATTATTATTTGACTTGTTTTCCTCTGTGTTATTGTTATTTTATCAATTTCAATGATGATTTTCAGGTACCTATAGGAAATAAATGTAGTTCAAAGGACAAAAATATATTACATTTCATCTATTTATTAATTTATACGCAAAGTAATACATGCTGAATGCTTTCCATTTTAATATCAAGTTCTAGCTTTCTTCATGTTCAGTGAGTAAAAAAGATAGAGCGACATCATCAACCGAGTGACATTCAATGTATCGCTGAGAAAATCTGTTTAAACTGCAGAGTAATTATACCTGCTTTACTGAATGTTTTCCATTTGATTATTGTTGATAACAAGTATCGTTGTATTTAGTAATCAAACAGATGCGATAGAATATGCAGATGTCTGTCGATTTGTGGTACATATACTAACAATAAATCGAATTATAAGCGCATTAATTGATGCGAATCCTCTCAATGTTATTTATTTGGAAATTTTCTCAATCTAAAATACAATTCTTTTTAATAACTCACGAATCTTAAATGCTAAAAAAGGCTAAAAGAGTCAACGCTACTTCTTTTAATTGCTAATGTATTAACTAATTTTTTAAGTTCAAAGTATATATGTATAATTATGTAACAAACGTTTTATTCTATCCTTGTTATAATTATGTACTTTTGAAAGCTATTAGCAATTAAAAGAACTAGTAGCGCGTTAGCCCTTTTTGAATTTGTTTTATTCAATTGATCGAGCCTATATAGAGTACTTTAATCCTCTTATTACGAATTTTATTATTAATTTTATTATGTAAATGCATAATTATGTTTATTCCTCTATATTATTTATACGTTTCTTTTTTTACGTAAAATAACGTGGACGGGAAATGGATAGCTTTGTATAGGAATTGAAATATTCGTAAGCATTATTCTTATCAGTTTTGTACAAGTTGATAAATATTCTGGCCTCTTACGCAAAAGGCAATCGTACGTTTCGCGCATCTAATTATTAAAATATTGTGCAATGACTTTAAATTTACGTGGAGCGTATTATCATTAATTCAATATTTAGAAAGTTTGCTCGATAGATAGAGAAATATTTTCCGTGAGGCACGATTGAGTTGCGATTAGGTAATGCCTTGCGCGCGGAGCATATTATTTTCACCAGAGAGACACGATCTAGGTCGTTACTCTCGCCGTGGTGTGAGAGATGTGATCGTCTCTCGTCTCGTTATCGTGAGTCGGGATCCGCTGGAAACCGCCTTGTCATTGTAATTTCTCTTTTTTGCCGCAATACATGGAAGATTAAAGTCCAACAACGGACGGAGTAGGAGTGTCATACGTCTCAGAGTTCGATCGCCTAATCTCGGTTAACAGCGACGTTACGTACTGTCACTATTTTTTTGTTTTCCTTCTCCGTTTGCTCTTTCTCCTGCTTTCGCAACTGTTCGCAACCTCCCCGTTTGTCACACGGAGGAAGTCTCGCCAAGGGAACGGTTCTCGCTGGTGTTTTGCTCAACGAAAATTTTCCGGTGTTTCACTCGTGTCTGAAGAGACAGATTGGCAGGATGGTTCACAAGCCGAAAGTGTACGTGATCGGCGTCGGGATGACCAAGTTCGAGAAACCAGGCAGTAGAGATGACTTCGACTATCCGCAAATGGCGAAGGAGGCGGTTACCAAGGCTCTGCAGGACGCGCGGGTATCCTACAACAATGTGCAGGCCGCCTGCGTTGGGTACGTGTACGGCGACTCGACTTGCGGTCAGAGGGCAATCTACGAGATTGGACTCAGCGGATGTCCCATTTACAATGTCAACAATAACTGCTCCACCGGCTCCACAGCTCTCTACCTCGGCAAACAGATCGTTGAGGGCGGCAATGCCGATTGTGTTCTTGCGCTTGGCTTTGAGAAGATGGAGCGAGGCTCCTTGATGTCCAAGTTTTCAGATCGCACAAATCCCATGGATAAGCATGTCGAGCTCATGGCAGATATCGCAGGTGAGTTACAATAAGATTCTCTTAAGAATGTCTTAACATAAAATGCTGCAGTATTCCATGTATTTAACTTGTTTATCTTGTAAGGTTTGTCCGAGGGTCCCATCACTGCTCAAATGTTTGGCAATGCCGGGATCGAGCATATGAGGAAGTATGGCACCAAGCCTGAACACTTTGCAAAAATTGCATATAAGAATCATCTGCATTCCACAAACAATCCGTACTCTCAATTCCAAGAGAAATACACCTTGCAGCAAATTATGAATTCTCCCAAAGTATTTGGACCATTGACAAAGCTCCAATGTTGTCCCACTTCCGATGGTGCAGCAGCTGTTGTTCTAGCCAATGAGGACTTTGTTCATAAGCATCATCTGGAATCACAGGCTGTTGAAATTCTGGCTATGGAAATGTCTACTGACTTATCCTCAACATTTAACACTCAATCGTGTATAAATATTGTCGGGTACGAGAAATAAACAAACTATTATGTTTCTCAATTGTTGGTTTACTAATTCTAGTGTGATATTTTGCAGGTATGACATGACAAGAAACGCAGCTGAGAAAGTTTTCACATCGAGCCACTACAGACCAAGTGATGTGGATTTGATAGAGCTGCATGACTGTTTCTCCACGAATGAGTTAATCACATATGAAGCTTTAGGATTGTGTGCTCCCGGTCAAGCCGGTAAAATGATAGATGCTGGAGACAACACCTACGGTGGCAAGTATGTTGTGAACCCAAGCGGCGGTCTAATCTCAAAAGGACATCCTCTGGGCGCCACAGGATTAGCGCAGTGCACTGAACTTACCTGGCAACTTCGTGGTGAAGCCGGCAAGAGACAGGTGCGGGACGCAAAATTGGCGCTTCAGCACAACATAGGTCTGGGCGGTGCAGTCGTCGTAGCTCTCTACCGCTTGGGCTTCCCGAAACAGGCGGTAATCAGAAGAAACATGAATGTTGCCGCCGATTCGAGTATCTTCCAAGCGGATGTACTTTTTAAGACATTGGCAATCGCGATGGAGGAAGACGATGATAATCTAATTGAGAGAATGCGCGGAGTTTACGGATTTAAAGTCATAAATGGTCCCGGTGGCGCCGAAGGATATTGGATTGTAGATGCAAAAACAGGCAAAGGCAAAGTTGAGTACAATGGCAAAACCAAACCTGATGTAACATTCACGATTAGCGACACCGATATCGTCGATTTCATTTCTGGAAAATTAAATCCGCAGAAGGCTTTCTTCCAAGGAAAGGTCAAGATTCAAGGTAACATGGGGCTCGCCATGAAATTGCCTGATTTGCAGAAACGTGCCGCCAAAAAGATCGAGCTGCTTCGTTCAAGATTATAAGATATTCAAAGTGCGGAGTTTGCTAAAATACCACACTAAACAAAATATATCTGTCTCTTTTTCGCGCGCTTTATCTTTCCTAGTCTATTTGGCTATCAAAGATTACATTATCGGCAGTTTCATAATTATAATACGTAAGTGTGTTATGAAAATTGGATTTCAGATAAAGCTACAGTCATAATCGAAATAAGCAGATGATGAAAAAGAGTCTGTACATGTTGGTAATGCAAAAAGTTATTCTTATAAAATTGATAATAAAATTATTTCATTTTATATTCTGCATAAAATATTCGCGCGCGGTAGTCTTGATATTTTATGCGTACAATCTGAAATGATATTCAAAACATAGTACAAAAGTTAAATTTCATCTTGTATACTTTTAAAATGTGTGTTGATAGATATGTATAAAATCAAAAAAATAGTACGGTACTATGTAAATTTATGTAAATTATACATTCGAGAAATTTAATTGATATTTATCTTCACTTAAATATCAATCTTTGCAGAAAAGATTGTTGCAAATGATAGTTGTATGCAATTGAAGAAAGTATAACTTGCACACATAATATATAAGTCTTCTATTAATACCATTGATATTTTTGCGGGACATGTGATATATATTTGGAATGGTATCTATAATATATATTTTTAAACACAAAAAATATAACATTATATATATAATGTTATATTTTTTGTTTATATATATATATATACTCAATTGAATTCAGAGCAATTACATGCGTGTTTTAGATGCAAATTTTATACTTTTTATATTCTGATTAATAAAAAAAAAACAATGAGAATCCACATTTCGTACTCATAAATTTCATACTATAAAATATATTTTACAATTTTTAATTATTCTCGAATCAACTATATATTGTTGCAAGAAGTATAATATAATTGCATTGAAATTTCCTAAGGTGCATTTATACGTGTTACATAAGCACGCAGTTATATAAATGCATCATAAGTAGTATAAATGAATTATATCTATACTTATTGTTTTCTATTCTATAATATATAAAGTTTATTCTTTAAAAGTATCTTGTGTGAAAAATGAAATTTTGAGTATGGATCAGACGAAATCTTTGATTGCTTCTCTATCAAATAGATAATTATATTTGTTATCAAAAACAGTTTTATATTTAATTAATAATCATATACATATTGTGAAAACCTATAGAGATTTTCACTAGGTTTCTAAAAGAATATATAAAAGATTATGGAAATATCGAGATAAAAAGTTTAAAATTAATCAAATTAAAATTTTTTTAATTTAAATATTTCTATAAAAAGGTATAATATTGCATAACAATTATATTGTAAATAAATAAAAGATATCAAAATTAGTTATTCTAAAAATTCATGATATATATTAAAATGAAATAAATAATTTTTTTTTCATTGGAGAAATTATCCTCTTTACTAGACATTCCATGATCATATTAAGGATTTTTATTATTAGAATTGTAGAAGAATACGAAGCAACATTATATATATATATACATATATATATACATATATATATATATACATATATATATATACATATATATATATATATATGTAGGCACTAATACATTTTTATGTGTGAAAATGGGGAAAAACATATAAAAGGTTTGATATTTACAATTACATATTTCTATGAAAATAATATTAGGCAATATGAGCATAAATAGAAATTAGAAAGTTTCAAAACTTTGCATTATTCTCTTGAAAGAAATTAAATTCTAATGTGCAATGCGTTTCAAGTATTTTAATATGCGCCTGGCTTAGCGCCGAGACACTACCGTGTCTCCAAATGATTAAAAGGAGTAAATCACTTGACAAAAGGTAGGATAGATAACTTGACAAGGCAATATACGAAAATTAAAATATTACATTCGGCAAGTTAATCGATTATTATGGTGTATTATAAATGTATAATATATCATATACATAATATATACATATATACTACGTTATATATATACATATATATATATATATATATACTATGTTTATACAATTTTATACTGTGTGACGGAGATGGGTGAAATGTTTAGTGTATTAATAAAAGAGAGAGTTAATAAAAATAATTAATTCTTTTTTTAAACATTTGTCTACTTTATAATATTTTGATCTATTTGCTATACGCGTTTCCCGCGTTCTGTATGTTTATGAGGAATGTTTATTTCATTCACTATACAGCTTTTAATTAAACATTCTTCCTTATATTAATAATATACAGGGTTGCCACAAGTCAGGGAAATCAGGGAAAGTCAGGGATTTAGTAAACTTTTCTGGAAAAACAAAAATTGTAAAGAAATTTAAAACATCTGTTTAGATCAAAATTATTAAAAAATGTAAAACAGTAATTTTTCCTGGTAATATATCAAGGTGCTTTTTCATGCGCAGCACGCTGCAGCAGCAATTCGTTACTATTGGTTAAGAATTTTATGTAAGCTAGATGACGCACTTCCGGCGCAAAATACATTTTGCCGCAGTTCGTTGAAGTTGAACCGAACGAACAGCAAGCAGCAAGCGGCAAAATCGAGGCAATATTATTTATTGTAATAAATATTAGGAAAATAAACGAAGAATAGCTTCGGATAAGGTACGAGTTTGTAAATTAGATCATTTTATACTTTACACTTTACTCTTTAATTTGTGGTAAAGTATAAAATGATCTAATTTACAAACATGTATCCGTACCTTATCCGAAGCTATTTTTCGTTTATTTTCCTAATATTTATTGCAATAAATAATATTTTCATAATGAAACGACGGACATATTGTACGCTTTCTCGATTTTGCCGCTTGCTGCTTGCTGTTCGTTCGGTTCAACTTCAACGAACTGCGGCAAAATGTATTTTGCGCCGGAAGTGCGTCATCTAGCTTACATACAATTCTTAACCAATAGTAACGAATTGCTGCTGCAGCGTGCTGCGTATGAAAAAGTAGGGTGCAAACCCATGCAGCGGAATAGCGTAATGCGGAATGAGAGTAGAACTAATCACGAGATTCTCTAGAAACACGGAATGCTCGTTATTGGTTCCGCTCTCGTTCCGCGTTACGCTATTCCGCTGCATGGGTTTGCACCCTCACTGTCGATTTAATCGACTGATAAAATTGAGAAAGAATTTAACGTTCTTTGTTATAAGAAAGAAGTAATTAATTTATGCAAGCAGTTTGTTAGGGAAAATCAAAGAATTGATCAGTTCTGGAGAAACTTGCTTCAGGATCAGGATAATTTCCAGAATTTGTATGCTTTTGTGAAAAAGGTCTTTATTCTGAGTCATGATCAAACATTTTTGGAAAGAGGATTTTCAATAAACAAGAAATATATTGTTGAAAATCAATTACCTAGGTCTCTAATATCTCGGACAAGTTTATGATGGCCTTAAGGTTGTTGATGGTCTCATTAAACTTACCATACGATAGATAAAAAGATGATTTTTATCTATTTGTAATATAATGACACTATATGTATATATATATATATACATATAGTATACATATATGTCTAAGGGTTGCAGGGACCTTTCAGAATATGTTCTATATAGTTCCGGAACCTTTGGCTATTTTTCCAGATCGGTCCCGAATCTTTTTCGGATATGTTATTTATTTCCAGGTCAGACCTCAAAATATACATTATATTTATAAATAGAGAAAATCTGAAAATGAGCCTAGAATATTAATTCCAATATTATTAAAAACACATCATTGACGAAATAAATAATGTAACTGATATTTTTGTTGCATAGATTTGAATAAAAATTAAAAATTTTAAGATGGTCCCGGAAATAACCACTTAAATGTACAATGTACATTTTCGGGACCATCCGAAAACTTAACCATTATGTTAATATGAATACTTCGTATGAGATTATTTTTGCTCGTAATGAAACGTTAGTGAAATTTGATTGGAAATTCTCTTTGTTTTTCTATTATGTATATTATTGTAGTGTCAATTTCAAGTAGTATGTACCTACACTTTCAGAACATTAAGGTTTTTAGAATTTGGAGCAACCCAGACAGCCAAACCTGCCAAAAGCACGCATTGCTAATTTATACTACATTATTATAATGGCAAAAATCGAGCAACAGTCGAACACGGTTTACCATTTCAGTATAGCGCTAACAGAAATATAGCAAAAATAGAGCAGACCTGCGTCATAATACACTAGCAAAAATTCTGTAAAAATTCATCAAACATTACCGAAATAAAGAAAGCAGAATTCGAGCATTACATGCTGGCAAAATAAATTAACAAAAAATAGATGAAAACTTGATATAAAACATGTCTACATGTTATAAATCAGCAAAATGTTGTTAAAAATCTGGCACACTTATTGTCATATTATGACAGCAAAAAGGCGGTAAAAACACTGCACGATCTGACATAATTAAGTACTGACAGCAAAAACGCAGCAAAAATCGAGCACAGCCTGCCGTCACACCGTGACGGCAGGCTGTCAGTATTTGATTATGTCAGATCATGTTGTATTTTTACCACGTTTTCGCTGTCACGATGTGATAGCAAATAATGATTGATTTTTGTTGTTTATTTCTATCGTTGTGTTAAGTTGGCAGGATAAGCTGTTAGAAACTAAGCTTAATGAGGAAGCAGCAGCTTGATATCTGCTGCATGTCATGATCAAGTTTGCTGGCATACTGCCGGCATACTACTTTTACGATACTGGCCGTTTCGTCTATGCGCTCAGGCGGACGAGGCCATTCTACCAAAATTAATTAATTAAAATGCCGGCATACTGCTAGCATTTTGCTATCTGGGAACATATTACGTATTAAAGGGATGTTGCATTATTATTCTGTAAGGGTCTGCGCACAATAGGAGAAATATTAGGAACAGATATTAAATATAAGAATTTTAACCTATCAGAATTGTGTACTGTGGAATGTGCGCTTTCTGACAGGTTAAAATTCTTATATTTAATATCTGTTCCTAATATTTCTCCTATTGTGCGTAGACCCTAACTCTTAATGACATTGTCGATATCGTTAATGGGCCTTCTACAATAAGCCGTAAGTCACAAATCATAAGTCATAAGCTAGAAATGGACCAATCACAGTCGTCAATTTTTAATTTCTTACTTCCGATTTATGACTTATGACTTATTGTAGAAGGCCCATAACAGTACCCTTGTACTAACATTTCATATGGTAAAGAAGCTGCGTAACGACTCATATCGATATCAATAT